TAAGCGAAATCCTATATCTTTCATATTCTTCACTTTAACCAAAGAAAAATGGAATTGTTTAATTAATGATATACTGTATATTAACAGTTAGTTGAAAACATATTTATGTATAAACTAAAAATGATGGTGCATCTGCAGCTTATATAGTTTGTAAATTTTTTATATAATATACAAACCTAATTCTAGGTCCTCTTTTGTAAATCCATTAATATTTTTAATATGACGTTTCGGAATTACTAGAAAATGATGATTTGCAGCAGGGTATTTGTCATTAAATGCGACGATTTGTTCGTCCTTTTTTAAAAAAAACAATAATGGTGATTACGTATAGTTTCAATGAGAAAAAAAAATTTAGTAAAGATAATCTACGTACCTCATAAAGTATTGTCGCTGATGAATCATTTCTCGCAGCGATTTCACAAAATATACAGGTCATATCAGAAAGTGATGTCAATAGCGATGAGACTTCTGAGTTTTTAGTTAATATCTATCTATATAAATAATAATAATTATATGTAATTTGATTGGTTAATAGACAAATTATATGAAAAATAAAAGAATTTAATTGGTTAAAAATGTCATTTTTTTACAATTAACTAATTTTGTAAAAAAATTAATGAGTGAATGCGTTATTAACCTTATTGATAGTTAATAACTTTGATCATTGCTAATACGTAATACATTGAATTAAATAAACTACTAACGCTAATCAATTAAAAGCTTAGTTTGCAATTATGAGGAAGTATCTAAGTATTTGAACGTACGAAACTTTTCGTTTTTTTATCCATTCTGTTAATCATTCGTTTTTACGTAGCGTTATATAGTTAATAATTCGACTAATCATTAATAATCGATATTATTAATTATTGTGACGGCTGATGCTGAAGTTTGGCTGATGTTGAAGCTAAAAAATCTGATTGGTTAGGGTTAGGGTGATCTGCAAAATTTAGCCAATCAGATTTTTTAGCTTCAACATCAGCCGAACTTCAGCATCAGCCGTAACAATTATTAATAATATCACTAGATGTCGATATAGCGATAATCTTTAGTCATGTGAATATTAAAAGCTATACATAGTAAACTCTCGTTATAATGAATTTATTGAATTCATCCGATACGTATCGATCTCGAGAGAATTCTACATAGGGCAATATTAAAGTTTCACTAATAATAATGTTCAGTGCTTCTTATTATACGTAATGAGTGACTTGTGCAATACGTATTCTTAACGAATGACTGCCTAGACTATTTTGTATGGCCTTCACACTCATTAAAACGTATGCACTGTACTTACGTGCGTATTTGGTATTTTACTTTCATTATTGTTATTGCTTGTTATATCAACCAATTAGTGTCACAGTGACCTACTTCACACGATATTTGCTGCATCCTGTCATAAAACTAGGAAATGCAACCACTCCAAGAATACCAACCAGGATTTACTTTGCAGATGTTACGTACGTACGTACGTACGTACGTATAATAAAATATTAATATGCTATATATACAAATATATATATTTTTTAAATAAAATTATTGTTACGTATGCTGTTTAAATAGCTAATATAAATAAATTCCAAGCTGATAACTATTTTTAAATTAGAAATTATTAAAAATAAATAAATTTTTTTTTTCTAAAAAAAAAAAAAAAACAACTAATATACAATATATATATATAAAGTAAGGTTAATTTTATATTTAAATATACTGTATATTTTTTAATTAAATAAAAACAAAAATATCCAAGTTACTGTAAAAATATATAGCATCTAAAGTATGTTTATTTTTTTAAAATGTATTTAGATCAAAAATTTTTAAAATAAATTTTATATATTAGTTTTATTTGCTAAATAATTTTAATTTTATTTTAATTATTATCTTTATTTATTTATTATACGTAGTAAAAATCAAATTGTAGTAAAAATAAATTTCTTTTAAATTTATTAGAGTTAGACCAATATTAAACAACTATGCCTATCACTATAACGTACGTAAGTAGGACAATGGTAAATTTTATCTGGATTCTGGAACTTTGGTAATATCGCTATCTGTTGATAAAGTTATCATTTATAGTTATTTGTCATATAAACAAAGCGTTCTCTGGCGCAAGATGCCGAACTGTACGACTTGATGAAATTGCTAAATACAAATAAAATTGCTACGTAAGCGTGGTAAGTGTGTATGTACAAATCCGGCCAGTATTTTGATGGGCAATTGATGAGTGGTGTACGATGGCGTGACATATCATGTGACAAATCTCAGAGATATATAATTATCAAATCCCATAATTTCAAAAAAAGACATAAAACAATGAACAAAGGGAGCTTGAAAACTTCATACTTACCTGCCAGGATATAACCATGATCAACAAGGTGGTTGTATAGGTAGTGGTTGCTGGCATTGCACTAAAGCTGGAGGCTGCTGCTTCGAACATCCTACGGGGTGTCTCGACTGGATAATTTTTGTCTGCTGGGTGGAACGTGGTTCGCCGCGAACTGCCCTTTTATTTTAACTAGCGGGTTGGGTGTGAAAAATTAAAAATTTCGGGGTGCTTTTTTCTTTTTATAGAAAAAAAAAAAAAAAGAAATTTATTTCCGCATAATAAATAACTGCATTCGTATAATTCATAAAGTTTCATATTTACACCAGAGATTATACAATGCTTATTCGATACTTATCCGATGCTTATCCGATGCAGAAAGTACAAAGTATAATTTTTTGCGCCTAATTTATTAAAAGGGATGTTATTTATGCAGTATCTAACACTAGAAAAAAAGAAGCTTTTTCTATTTCTAGCGATTGACCTTATCTGACTCGTTACAAGCCAATGTCAGAATGAGACTATATTTAAGTTTAAATTAAAAATGTTACATTAGCTTACATACAAGTTTAAATTAAAAACCTTTATTTTTTTATATCAATATATATATGTATTTTTTAGTGCGCCATTTATTTACTTACTCCGTTATTCATCCTTTTTTCCTTTGTTATCGTTATATACGAGATGCATTTGAATCACTTGCAGGAATAAGAAGACCAAATATAAATTAAAGTACCAATGATAATAAATAAATATTACAGTATCAGATGCGTTATACTATTTGTGACTAATTGTGACTAACGAAGCAAAGTTTTGAAAAAAAAGTTTGACTAAAAAATTTGACTAACGAAAGCAGTTGTAAAAAATACCGTTTCTCCGATTTATTCTAATACTATTTTATTAAAAAGAAAAACTCTATCCCATTAAAGGTATCTATTTAATGATAAAAAGAGAAAAAAAAAAAAATCAAGATAGTCAATGGAAATTATGTATAAGCTATTTTCATTAATATTATCGCAAATGAAACTAATAAAGTAAATTGATGAACTATAAAACGTAACGAACGATTGATTAAGATTAACGATGTTCATAAATACGAAAAAAAGTGATATCTACATTTACAATGAAAATGAAAATAGTACAAAAATGTAAAGGCTAAATGAACACCAAGATTAATATAGTAATAATTAGCAAATAATCCAAAGGATTAACATTTTTAATAATTTCAAATTTTTTTGCAATTTTTTTTATGCATTTCATATTTTAAAAACATATACAAAAGAAAGTATACTCTGCTTAAACATTGATGAAATCATACATTTTAATACATGAAAGATTCACAAAAGACAGAGATTTTCTTAATGCACATAATCATCAATCTGAGAATCACCGTGAGTTCGTTTTCCTTGCGCAGCCAAATGTGACACACAACTCCAAAGAGTAACTTCACCTTTTAGTTTGATTTTTCGTTCGATATCTCTGCGAGGAATTTTTTCGGAATCACCATCATTACTTTCATTTTCAGCAGTATTATTACTAACAACACTAGTGGCATCATCATCATCGGTAGTTATTGAGCTTTCAGCTCTTCTAACAACGAATTTTGTGACACTAGAATTTTTAGCCTTATGTTTCATACTTAAGTAATCATTTACAAATAAACCTAAATCCATAATAAGATGTTCCTTAACAAGTTTGTTTATAACACCACCGTGAGTGACTAAGAGAATATGAGAACTACGTTTGTTTGGAGGAGATGAACCGGGATCATTTTTTGGTAAATGTTTTGCGATTATATCGTCGAAGAAGTCGACCACCTGGGCCTTAAAATCTTCTTCAGGTTCACCATAATCATCCCACGAAGCACCATCCTCTTTAATTAAATCTAAGGCATCTTGAATAGATTTCCCACTAAGTCTTCCCATATCCTAATAGTAATAATAATTAAATATATATATATTAATATATATTGAATATATTTTAATAAATGAGTTATTTGGTGAAAATATTTACCCGTTCCCGAAGTCGAATATCTACACTAAATGGTGTGTCAGGATGATGTTTAGCAATGGCTTCTGCCGTCTAAAAGATAATTAAAGTAAATGATTAAAATAAATCATTAAAATAAATGATTAAAATAATCGAAGAATAAATTTTCTCTTACCTTTTTTGCTCGGGATAAATCACTAGTAT